CACTCATTCAATCCCACAATGCACCGCAATAACGAGTGTACAACCGATGCAAGCTAAACCATAGACATACTGTATATTTTATATTGCACCCGCAGCTGAATCATCTACCCATTCAATTTCCAAAACAGTGGTCCAGCTTAATATCATACAGGTATAAATTCCTTTTTAATTGATTATTAAATTGTTTAATTAAGGTTTACATGCTAGTTTCAATGACAGAGTTCAAGATAAATCTTTTCATTTCTACTGGAGCTGCCAGGTTGCTAAGTTTCAAATTATTATTAATCAACAAGCACAAACTATACAAAAGCGGCGCATTCAATGTCCGAATTCACTCATTCACTCGTTTTCATTCACTCCTTCAAGTGGACTATATTAATGGAGTAATGTAGGGAATAGTGAATGAGGGTATAGGGGGCGATTTCGAACACAGTTTATGATGGGGCAGTGAATCATTGACTCACCCAATTCATTCAAAAACACAGATTCATCAAAGGCGAAGAAAGGCGACAGTGGCAAGGAACCAAACCTCCATCAGGAGACAGAATGGAGAAAAAAACCTCGGGAGAACCCAGGCTCAGTCGGGGGCCAGTTCTCCTCTGGCCAACGAGCGAACAGTGTATGATTATGATTCAGGCAACATTACAGGTCAGAAGTCAGATTGGATCGGAACATTCACAATATTTATCCAGTTCCCTCTGGTTGGAGGTCGGAGTCACCCCACCGGTATGGAGACGAGTTTGTTGAGGTTAGGGTTAGGTGAAGGTCCACCATCTGATCTGGATACGGCCCGGGTCCGGCTAATTAAAGTTAACCTCAGAATAAACAGAAAGACTAAAATTAGCGTAGATTCTTCTTATGATGTAGCGAGTACATCAGGTGTTGTAGGAAGTGTCTCTAGTTCCGGCTGACCCTGGGTGCTTCTCAATATCCCTCCTCGTCTCCTCGATCCTCCGTCCTCCATCCTATGACCCGGAAACCGATCGAGCTCAGCCATCTTGAAGGACATCTCAATTCTCTAATTGCACTGCGAGGAGGCGAGGATCGAGGAGTGAGGAGGCTTCCGGAGGAGCTATGAGCGAGGATGCACAGTTGCATGCTTTGCGGAAGTGTTTTATCGACTAAAGGTGACGCACGTGTCTCTAGTTCCGGCTGACCCTAATTCTCCTCCCCCTTCACGTCGGTCACAATAATTTTAATTTATACTTGACCTTTGCAGTTTATATAAACCACACATCTCACATATTTCAACAGGGTATCTTGCTTCATTATTATTTATTACTAATTTCTTAAATAACCAAACTTCAACAACTTTGGGCAGATCCTTTGAGCGCTGCTGATGACGTAGTGAAGTGACGCTCGAGTGGTCAAGTATTTCAAAGTATAAAAAAACTTTCATTCGATTCCTCCGTCCTCATTTTCTTTCCTTGCAGCCTTCCCTCGCATCCTGCAGGGGGTGGAGCTGAGACGCGAGGAAAGGAAACGAGGATGCACAAATAAGAATTGAGAAGCACCCCTAATCTATGCAGCCTAATAATCATTTAACTGATTTGAATAATAGGAATGTATAGTGTTCTATGTGAATGCCAGGTTGAAGAGATGTGTTTTTAATCTAGATTTCACGAGTTCACACTTAAATACAATTAGAGGGGGTAAAGTTTAATGTGTATTTAGCGTGCTGTCCGGGGGGAGGGCTCCGACCTCGGAGTACAGCCCGAACCCAGAGTACTCACCCCTTTGTAAGTAGTTAGGACTAGAAGTGTGGAGAAGGGGTGGTGGAGGGACGCTGCCAAACTGTCAATGGATTGAGGTGAGACTGCTGAGTCTATATATACCAGCCCGTTCTCATCCCAAAGCGTAATATATTGACTCTTTTGACAAAGCGTCTATATCCATGCACATGGCACCCTTTAGCGTCATATGAGACGCAGATATATGGCGCCTCCTAGTGGTCTAACCCTAACACTACCCCAGACCTAAACCTACCCAAAACCTGAAGCGTGTTATATTGACGCTAAAGGGTGCCATGTGCGTTGGATATAGACGCTTTGTCAAAAGAGTCAATATATTACGCTTTGGGATGAGAATGCGTTGTATATACGCCTCTTATCATTGATTGTTGAGTGCTCTCCACCCGTCTTAATTATCTGAACGTGCTCCTCCCGAACTTTGTTAATAAAACATAATTTAAACTGACAGAGTGTGTCTGCTTCCCAGACAATGTTAGGAAGACTGTTCCAAAGTTTAGTTCTGTCAGGTTCAATCAAATTTGTTTAGTTCAATCAAATACGATTGACAATTAGCATACAGTTTGGATTGGCGGTATGGTTCTGTTCTGGGCAAGAACTCCCTGCGCATCCATGAAGCCTAGCATGGATAAGAGCAGCAATAACCCCACTTAGGGTAAACAGAACAGAACCAACATGAATGTATTGCAGATATCATTAATTCAAGATTTTAAAATACAACATAATTCGAGAATTTATTCTGATTCAAGGGCACTCAGAATGCCATATCCTGACTGGGTGAGAGGAGGAGCTGGGGATGGAGGAGGGTAATTAGCTCCTGAGAAACGCTATTGCTGCTGATAATACTGAAGGAGCTTATATACTGTATGTATACAGTGACATCACGTCTGATTCAGAGTCAGATTCAGAGTGACGCTACGCTTGATGTGCTAAATAGGAAAATGATCTACCGCCAGCAGTTGAGGTTGATATTCTAGTCTCAAATCTTCTCAACAGGCCAGAATTTTGAGATCGCAATAGACGTGAAGGACTATAATGCGTCAAGAGCTCGCTGAAGTACTGGGGAGCTAAACCATTTAGTGCTTTGTAAGTAATCAGCAATATTAAAAAATGTATACAATGTTTAATAGGGAGCCAATGCAGTGTTGACAGAACCGGGCTAATATGGTCATACTTCCTGGTTCTGGTAAGAACTCTAGCGGCTGCCTTTTGGACCAGCTGTAGTTTGTTTATTAAGTGTGCAGGGCAACCACCCATAAGAGCATTACAATAATCTAGCCTTGATGTCATGAACACATTAAATAATTGTTCTGCATTTGTCAATGAGAGCATATGACGTAATTTAGATATATTTTTAAAATGGAAAAATGCAGTTTTACAGATACTAGACACGTGACTTTCAAATGATAGATTGGTATCAAAGAGCACACCCAGGTTCCTAACCGACAACGATGACTTGAGAGTCTCAGTGTAACATCCATTGTGATGTCCGTGTATACCGTTCTACAGTAAAGCAACATTCATTCAGCACAGAGGGTGATTTGAAACCTGTACCTTGTATTGTTTGTGTTTTGGTGATTAAACCAAATGTTCTCATTACATATCACAATGATCTTGTGTTTTGAAACAGTGATTTAGATGTTTGCTTTTGCACCTGTCGCTGATGAAAATCTGGATTTTGTTCTTGGGACTGAGAACTCAATGTCTGTTTTTCCCCAAAACAAGCGTATACATGAACTCATCTAAACACAGCACACATTTTCCACTGTCTTCTAGACCATCTGAGATGAGATCGGGCCCAGAGAACTCGCCGGCATCTCCATATAGAACTGATGTATAGCTTTCTCCTTGCGTAACAGATTCAAGTGGCATTTCTTGATGCAGTGTCAGACTGTGTTAAGTGACAACAGTTTTCCAAAGTACTCTTGAGCCCATGTGGCTGTATTTAACAGAGTAGCATGATGGTTTTTCATGCAGTGCCATCTGAGGGCTTGAAGGCTGAGGCCTTCTTGTCTTGCCCTACACAGCCTGAGATTTCTCTGGATCCCAGGAAGCTTTTCACAGTATTATGAATGGTAGATGGTGAAAGACATGTTTGTAATCTTGCATCGAGAAATTTGATTTTTTAAATTGTTTGACAATAATACTTTTTTCAAGGACAATAACAGCTATATAATCCCATTGTCATATATTATTAATAAAAAATAATGCAAAACACCCTGTCCTGACCTGGGTTTATTTATGGCTAACTGTGGCAGCTGTGAAAATAAGTATGCGGTTCCATTTCACTAGGATGCTGCTTTAAAATCCTATGAAATCAAAACAGAAATATTCCCAATAATTTGGAACAGAGCCTGTGACTGTAGTGAGTCATTTAAAGGGGTCTTTGTTCCACATGTTATTCCATTTCTGTTCATCAAATGTCTTCTAAATTTGTTCAGTTTATGTCTCAGTTGTTGAATTTTTTTATGGTCATACAAATATTTACACGTTTAAAATTTTCTATAAAAGCAGCTGAATGTGAGAGGACGTTTCTTTTTTTGCTGAGTATATATATATATATATATATATATTATATATATATATACACATATATTGTGATGCTCCTCAACAGAAATTATACTGACTATAAGTAACTTTGCAACTTCATGTCAACTTATTCTAACCCGAACCCTAGCAGTCTACTAATACTCTAATAACACTCTAATGAGAGTTAGTTGACATGTAAGTCCAATGTTACTTACAGTCAACCGAATGTGTTAAAGGGACCATCAAAATAAAGTGAAACCATAGTAAACACAAGCAGCAAATGGTACTTGAAAAGAATAATGTTTCATTAGAATTTATTTTTCCCAGATGTAGGAAATAAGAACCTGTTTTAAGTGTTCTTTGACCCGTTTCCTAGTAACATCCATTTGCCATGATAGCCAAGAATTTATGACCCAGAAACTTTCGTAGGGAGGTCACTCTAGCAACAGATCAATGTGATAGGGGCTAATAAGTGCAGTTGGGGTTGGTTTATTTTTATTGGTTTATTGCTTCAGTTGGATGCACTTTGTTTAGACAGCAGGAAAACACAAATTAACAAAGATGGAAAACAAGATGTACCAGTAATTGAAGTTACATCTGACCCGAAGATACCAGCTGGGACCAGTTTAATTTGTTAATATTTAAATTGTAAAACTTGTCAGTGCGTAACTAATTTTGACTCTGTATGGGAGGAGGCATCAGTATAAAATACAGTCCAGATAAGCAAGGAACACACTAAGGGAGCACAGTGCAACAGAAAGGCTTGAACCAAGGTTGAACAAGCCACATCCTTCAAGACAGCAGAGATGACCTCCTCCCAACTACACCTCAGTGTCTCCCTGCTCTGTTTGGCCATGACAGCAGGCATCATATCAGGCGGTCGATCTCACATGGTCTTGAACTCTGCGCTTCAGGCATCTCATGGCACTTCAGCTGATGAAGAGGTAAGCTTTGAAGGTCACACTCAAAACCTCAACTCATTTGAATAGAAAGTAATACAACATCTTGGAAGCACATATCGTTGTTTTAAGGCATAATAAAAGTATTGCAACCTGAAAAAAATGCTTTAATTCTTCAGATGCCAGAGAGATACTCCCTTCCAGAGCTCCAGTGGTTGCTCAGTAACCCAGACCTAGCAGCCATCCAGTCTGACAGCCCATCTCTGGGATTACTACAGAATGGACTGGACCTAATGAGGAGAGACAATGGAGAAAAAGAGCGAAAGCCGGGCTGCAAGAACTACTTCTGGAAATCCAGAACAGCATGCTAACCACAGGCAGGCCAACGGGTCCAAACCTGAGGCATCCGCCACTATTGACACGCTGCCGATCACATGCTCGTTCTCTTTCCTGAATCCACACTCGTCGTATGACATTCACTGTCTTTGACAGGAGTGAGTCTGAGTAATTGTAGCCATTATCTGTGAAGAGTGTTCCTTAATCTCAGTATTATCTTGCTCTGAAGCATTGACTGCTTGCAATAAACTGAATACAGCATAAAAAAAATGCTGGCCTGTGATATTTTATTTGCTGCTGGGTTTATATATATATTAGATGTTACACAGACAATCTAAGTTCTACAACAATATATATATATATATACACACACACACATACACACCACAAATGACAAACCACATCCAACAGGAGTAATTGTATATGCAAAAGGAAGCTGTCTGAAAGAGATGTCTGGGTATTAACCTAGATTGGATAACAAAAAACAACAACATACAATCACAGCTGCAATTAAATGTGCACCTTGACACACCTTGAGCTCCACGGAGTCAATATTCATGGTCAGGCTGCAAATGCCAAACCTTTGGTCCAATGGTCCCAGCAGTGGAAATCTTGGGCTATGGACAATGTGAACAGGAGTCTACCTTCTCTTGTAATTCTCAGTGTGGAGAAGCCCCAGATCACCAAGAGTGTAGCATGACCAAAGGGAATCTCAGAGATGGATCAGTGATGGTTTGGGTTGTAATATCATGGCATTCCCTTGGCCCACTACTTGTGATAGAAGGGTGCGTCAATGCCAGTAGGTTGTGCCATGTATCAAAATAATACACACAGCAAGACAGAGTGGTTTGATGAACATGAAAGTGAACATCTCCCATGGCACAGTCACCAGATCTGAATGTTATCAAGCCACTTTGAGGGTGGAGTGAGTCAGAAAACATTTTCCTCCACCTGGCCAATGTTCTGCAAGAGGACTTTTTTTTTGTGTTTGTTTTTTACATTAGTTTATTTGCACAAATATAAATATACAAGAAAAACAAGAAAGTAAAACCCATGTGCTGTGCAGGGAGAGGCAACACAAAACAAAAATCCCAAAAGGGCTTATTTAAAGCCTCCAACAAAACAACAAAGACAAAAAAAAAAAAAAAAACTAATGAAATTAAAGAGCTAAATTTTAATAACAAATATATAATTGTATATGACAGCATCAAGTTAATTACAACATACAACAGGAAAGGCTTAAAAATTCCTCTGGCCACTGTTAGGGACTGTCATTCCTTAGATGAACTGATTCTGTATTGGCCACAAAAGGAGGCCCGACACCATAGTAATAAATTATTGTGGTCTAAAACCAGGTGTTTCAGTTTAATTGTCTAACGTGTGTGTGTCTCCGTGCCTGTGTCTGTGACTGGAGCTTGCTGATGACTGGAGAATGTTGGTTAAGTACAAAGCCCTTTTGCATTTTATTTACAAGCATGAGCTTCTATAAAAACGACAAATTTAAAACAATCTGAAACCAGTAAAATACAAAAGACAGAGGTAAAAGTTAGCATTTTTATGTTCTCCTCATCTCCTCATGAAGTTCTTCTCCAGAGCAGCAGGGGTCCTCTGAATGGAGTGAATGTTTCTTTTCACACGGTCCTCCAGAGACGACGTGGCAGCACTCTCTAGCTTCATGTCACTGTAAACAGATTACAGACACAAATTAATTTGTGAGCAAGACATTATTATCCAAATCATTTCTTAATGCTAAAAGTGCTTTGCCCATATGTGCATGTATGCTGGAGCAGAATTAAGATATTCCCGATTCCCACTTCTGTGCCAATTAACATAAACCATCAACTGTTCCATGGTGATCCAGAAGTTTACAACCAGGCTACCTTGTGTAGTCAAGTCCGTTTGCTACAAATAAAACCACTGGGTGCAACAGTATTAAGATTTCTGTTTTCAGGAATGAAAATACTGACTGTATGAAGCCAGCGTGACGGTCCTGTTTGGCACTGTCTCTGGCTTTCTCCTGGTCCTCTTGTCGCTTGTATCTCTGCACATTATTTTCCCTTTCAATTTCTCTTTCGCGGGCAAAATCCATCATTTCCCTTCTCTTCTTCTCCAACTCTTCAGATGAGAGGCGTCTGAGAGAAGGGAAAAATGTAGTTGCATTTTATGTGGCAAACAAAACTGAAAGCCTTCTACAGCTAAAGAAACAAATGTGATCATGCCAGAGGTTTCAACTCATGTTCAGAGTGACTGACACAGATGAACAAAACATTCATTCTTAATCATGTAATCTACTACATGATACAGCAACTCAAGGAAGTGTCATACTTGCTGTAATTGGTGTACTGCGGTCTTTGATGGCGGTCCCGGTGTCTCGGTGGGCTGGGGGCTTTGGTTTTAGGTCTTCGCTCGGACTCTCGAGAGGAAGGATTGTCCCTGTCTGCTTTGTGAGAAAACGGGGATCGACTCCTGTCTCTTGAATGGTGATCTGTGTGGTTAGACGCTGAAGAGTGATGGGATCTGCTTTCTGGTAACTGAAACAAGAAGAAAGGAGCACATTTCAAAGTTGGCACGAAACGGAAGTTGATGAAATGGCTTCTCCAACAAGAAAACAAGCGGGACTTGATTTAGTCCATCGGGAATTGATTGAATCAGTCAATCATTGTGGTTTGCTATTGGTGGGTCCCTCGTGCCAGTAAACATGTCATCAGAGAAGATCATTGCAAGAGGGAGGGGAAGTTATTTAAAGATTATGAGGACACATGAATAAAAAATAAATAAAAATAAATAAATAATGATGTACATATAAAAGGGTTCCCACACCTTGGTTAACTTCAAGGACTTTCCAGGTCCAATACCCTCGAATTCAAGGACTTAAAGGGTTAGTTCACCCAAAAATGAAAATTCTGTCAGTAATCACTCACCCTCATGTTGTTCCAACCCCGTAAGACGTTCGTTCATCTTCGGAACACAAATTAATATATTTTTGATTAAATCTGAGAGCTGGATCACTCCATAGGCTTCTTAAGGGATCGAAACTGGCCGGCCCAAAAGTTAAAATAGTCCAAGTGACTACAGTGGCTCAATCTTAAGTTTATCAAGCGACGAGAATACTTTTTGTGCGCAAAAAAAACAAACAAAAATAACGACTTTATTCAACTAATCATTTCCTTCTCTGTACGGCCGTGATATTTCACGTAGTGGAACTGCGCAAAGCTTCTAGGATGTACGTCACGCATCACACACATGACCAACGTCGGCCAATAGTGAGCCTGCGTGTGACGTGCAACCCAGAAGCTTTGCGCAATATCACTACGTGAAATATCAGGCCCTCAGAGAAGGAAATGATTAGTTGATTAAAGTCGTTATTTTTGTTTGTTTTTTTGCGCACAAAAAGTATTCTCGTCGCTTGATAAACTTAAGATTGAGCCACTGTAGTCACTTGGACTATTTTAACGATGCCTTTCATAACTTTTGGGCCGGCCAGTTTCGATCTCTTAAAGCCTTGTTCATACTCGACGCGTCCGCACGAGCGCGAGTCTCCGCTGACTGCGCGCGCACCTCTCCAAACGGACGAGGCGTTTATACTTGACGCGCTCGCCGTTGTGCTATTCTGTGAAACGACAGGGGGCGACTCCGAGTAATTCTCCTCTAAACCACCAGGAATCAGCAGTGAAGAAGTAGTTTGCCTTTTATTAGTAGTTTATTAATTGCTGATTCAAATAAAAAGAGTAATAAATGCAGTAGGTTTATTGTACTTTCACTGCATGTAAACTAGTTAAACTGAAGAGTGTTTAAACCTTAATTTCATTAGCAGGGCTTACTTCTGCTATTGTATGCTTATTTTGTAAATATAAGCAGTTACTTTAGACAAGTGCAAACTGGGTGCTTAATGCAAATGTGTTCCTATTCACAAAATGAGAGGTTTTTATGGTCGCCCATCAATGCAAATGTCTCTGTGTATAGATCATAAACATGCTGGTACAGACGTACCAGTTCGGCCAGATTCGGCTCGAAGTCGTTCATCTTCGGATGCGGCGCCGCGCGCGATGTTACAAAAATTGCCGTGCACACCGCCAGGCGAAATGGGGTCTTGCGCACGACCGCCCACACCGCAATGACGTCATTTTTGCAGCGCACACCTTCGCGCTCTTGCGGACGTGTCGAGTATAAACAAGGCTTAAGAAGCCTATGGAGGAGTGATCCAGCTTTCAGATTTAATCAAAAATATCTTAATTTGTGTTCCGAAGATGAACGAACGTCTTACGGGGTTGGAACAACATGAGGGTGAATAATTACTGACAGAATTTTCATTTTTGGGTGAACTAACCCTTTAATGTGGGGACATATTTCAAGTAAGAACAAGGTTACATCGTGTTACCTTGTAAGATACATTGTTACAGTTTTCATGTGTCATTTTTCAAAAGCATTTTTTTTTTTACTTTATTTTTGGCCATATGAAAGAGATCTGATATTCTATTTGTGGTATTTCTGTTTTGCATAAAACCGAAGAATATTGGGTACATCCTTTACTGTATTCTAAAATGATCTGATATTAACTTTTGCATGGATTTTATTGAAAAGAGCTTAGGCTCATGTAACCAGAAGTTTTAAGATATGAATATGCTTTTAAGTTTTTCTTGCCTCATGGTTTACATTATCTTAACAAGAAAAGCTATTCAACATTACATTAAATAAAATGTAATATTTGGGCAACAGATTATCACAAATGTTTTATGTTCATTGAACACAATATACAGTCATTGACTGAACATATTTGGGTTAGTATGCATAGGCCATGACGTGTTGGCGAAATAACACATTATTTCCGAAGGGAATAATATGGAATTTATTCTAGAAATCTTCTTGAACAAAATAAATTCAAGCATTTTCTATGTATGTTTATTTTCAAAAACTTTCCAGGGCCTTGAATTTTTGTTTCAGATTCACCCGTGGGAACCCTGATGGAAAAATCATATAATAATATTCCAGAAAAAAAAAGAAAAAAGAAAAGATTTGTCAATTTTGATTGCAAGGTGACTAAGAAAAAGTAATATTTGATAAATATTACCAGATCAATGTTAAGCAATGGTGTAGGAACATCATAACTAAAACTCTAAGTATTAAGTCATGCAGATCTAATAAGTACTCTAATCTAAGTGTCTATTACTGAGGTCAGGATGACCTATTATGGCAATGCAGAATGCCAATGAATTTAATTAAATATTAAAATTAAATAAAAGTTAATAATAAAAATCCAAAAGA